GGGCAAACTATGGCCCGCGGGCCGGATCCGGCCCGTTTGAAATGAATACAACTATTGAAATAAAAGACCGTACCCTTTTATGTAATGCTGTTTACTTTGCATTTATATTAGTTCGCACAAACACTCCATCCACGCTTTTGTTCCGGCCTCCGGTCCAGTTTAAGAACCCATTGTGGCCCTCGAGTCAGAAAGTTTGCCCGCCCCTGCAATAGGGGCTTGTTTGTTTTTTAGCTGCTTCCTCCACTCAAATATACTTATTCATTCATTCAACACTTATTCATTGAGTGCCTACTATGTGCTGGATGTTGGGGAGAGAAGAGTGAACGATGCAAACAAAATAGCTACCCTCATGGAGGTTCGTTCCAGGAAGGAAATAAAACAGGTTAGTAGAGGGCCAGGTGTGGCAAGTACCGTGAAGAAGAACACAGCAGAGGGAGAGCATGGGGAGCGGCAGAGGGCTGCAGCTTCAGAAAAGGTGGTCGGGGGACCTCTTTCAGGAGGGCGCAGGGGGCAGACTGCAGGCATGTCATGTGGGGGGCGGGGTCCAGCCAGCAGGAGAGCGGGCTGAGGATGGGCAGGCAGAACTAGGCAGGGGCGCTGTGGACAGCGGGCCGGAGGTCCTGGCACCTCGCCCCGGAACGAGGGTGGGTATTTTTGAATGTAGAGCTGACCACACGTGCTGATGTAAGAGAACTGAGGGCGGCTGTTGACATGGGGAAGTGCGCGGTGGGTCCGTGGTCCCTGCCTGTCTCTGCCTGACCCCCTTAGTAAGCCAGTGGACACACAGCTCCCTCAGGGCGCATCTCCTTCGCCTGCTGAGAACCGGAAATTGGTGCTGGTGGACGAGGCTGATGATGGCACTGCGGTGGGTACAACGGCCTCCCCCGACCGTGCTTGGGTCCCAAGGGCCGGTGCCTGTGCCCGACCTTGTGTGGACTCAGGGTCTTGGCAGGTGCAGGCAAGCTAAGACAAGCACACGCTGGATTAGGGTGGCCCAGGCCAGTGACTGGTGATTTTTTCAGAGGCCATTTGGGCACGACACGGAGACCCAGGCAAGACCACCGTGTGGAGACAGACGGGCTGGAGTGACGGAGCCAGGCAAGGAGCACCCAGGTTGCTGGCCAACGTGGCGCTGGAGAGGCTGGGCAGGCTCTGCCTCTGAGCCTCTAGAAACAGCCCCGCCCCCCCCATCCCACACTTCTGGTCACCAGACTAAGAGCAAGTTCCTGTTGCTTCAGGCCCCAGTTTCTGGTCTTTGCTGCGGAGCCATGGAAGCCAGTACACCCGCTGGCTATTAGCACTCCTCACTCCAGCACCGCGCACACCTTACCCGACCAAGTCCCCTCAGCACCACCCACAGCTGAGTATCGTGGGCCTCCCTGCTGTACAGATGAGGAAATCAAGGCCCAGCAAGTCACATGACCTTCCAAGGTCCAGCGCTAGCACGTGGGAGAGCTTGACAGGTACCAGGTCTTCTTTTCTGGAGTCCGTGCCCACCATCAGGAGCCTGGGCTGGTGCCAGGAGCCAGGATCCCTGGCTCACTCGTCATCTGCTCTGCAGCCAGACGCCCTGCGCTCCCCCTCTCCATTCTCTGCGGTCGCTGGAGGCCTGCTGTCTTCACGTCTCCCCAGAAGATGCGTGGGTAGCAGGTGTGGCTTGGGTTTGATAAGAACATCACTGCGCACATCCTTTCCTCTGGTTGGAATGCCACCGGCAGAGGAAGGACAGCGAACAAACAGCCCCCCTCCCCCCGCCCCGTTGCTATTGGCTGAAGTGGAAGCTCCTGACCATTAATCCACGGCCCCTTCCACCTAAAGGAACGCATGCTGTCGGGGCCGGAGCGCCGGCTGCCTCCCGCCGTTCTCCCTGCTGATGCTCAGGGCCCAGGAGAGAGGGCAGGGCTTCTTAAGCCACTTGCTGTGAGGAACCAGGGCCGTGTCCGTCCTGTCGCGGGCACGCCACCGAGCCCAGCTCATCGCGACGAGCGTGTGGTGTGAGCGGGGAAAGGCAGTGACTCTCCCCCTGTGGCTGTGAATCAGTCCACAGGGTCCCAAGTCTGAGCAGGTGGGTGGGAGGGAAAAGGGGGCCCAGCAATAACCTGCAGGCGGCAGCCTCACAGCACAGAACTGGAACCTGGGCCTCGGGGAGCGAGAAGGGGTGTGGTTGAGCGTGACTTAGGCCACAGGTGACGCAGCAAGAGCCTTTCCTAGCAGACAAGTCACCTAACTCCCCTGTAAAGCAGGGGCAGGAGCAGTGCCCACGCTCCACATTCGCGGGGATTAAAGGAGGTGATGCACAGAGTGTGTAAGGCGTGGTGAGGTTATCTTCATGGGCCCCAGGCTAGGCCCCTCCCCTCAGGTGTCTATCGCTGCATTAACAAGTCACCCAGAACTCAGAGGTTTAAACCAACAGCAATCATCTCTCATCTCTTGTAGCCCCTGGGGGTCAGGGAATTGGGGTACTCACTGATGGGTCTGGTTTGGGGGTCTGTCCTCTGTGGCCGGAGCTGGGACAGCTGGGGCTGACACACCTGGAAGAGCCACCTGGGCCCCTGGCTCTGCATGTGGTGGTAGGGTCTTTCTGCGTGACCTCATTCTGTGGCTTCACCAGCACAGTGACCTCAGGGCTCCAGAGGCAGGCGCCCAAGAGAAACGGACAGAAGCTGTTGCCTTGGAACCCACCTGGGGCCACGTGCATTGGTCGGGTGGGGACACATGTGTTTTGTTATTATTGAGCAATATTCCTGTAGAATGGCAGCTTCTTTGAAGAAGTTGGAGGGGAATAAGAGACATAAACTTCCAGTTATAAACTAGAGGCCCGGTGCACGACATTCATGCACTGGGGGAAAGGAGGGGAAGGTCCCTCAGAGTGGGCCTAAGCCACAGTCAGACACCCTCAGCGCTACTGCAGAGGCCGGAGAGGCTCCTGCTGCTCTCCCCAGCCATCAGCCTGGCTTGTGGCTGAGCAGCCCGCCCCCTGTGGGAGCTCACTGACCACCAGGGGGCAGCTCCTGTGCTGAGCGTCTGCCCCCTAGTGATCAGTGCGCGTCATAGAAACTGGTCCTTCTGCCGTTTGGTCGATTTGCATTTTACCCTTTCATTATATAGGATAATCACAGGAATGTAGAGAAAGCACAGGGAATAGCCAGTCGTCCCTAATAACTTTGTGTGCTGACCGATGGGCGCTAGACTTATGGGGGATCACATCGTCAGGCACACAAATGTGGAATCACTAGGTGGTACACCTGAAACTAAAATAGTGCTGTGTGCCAACTAGACTTTAATACAAAAAGGAAAGCTTGACTAGAATATTAAGGAAAAAGGAAACGTCCCTTCTCCCCGTGAATGACTGCCGAGACGTTGTTAGGAAGATAAGACAGAAGGAGTGTTTTACTTCTGGACACCGCCTCACCCCCATAGTGAGTGAGTCGGTTTTGATGGTACCTCAGAGTCCCTCACAGCAACACGCTTGGCGCTTAGACTCCAGAGGAGAGGGGGCCATGGTTAGAGTGCAGACCCCGGGCCACGCCCAGAGCCTTCTGGATGGGAGGAGGGCTGGGAAGCTGTGCTGAGCTGGGGCCGGGGGGGGGGGGGGGGGGTGGATTCTGACACAGGCCAGAGGCACTGTCTCTGTAAAGAAAGGAACTTGCGCCAACTGGCGTGGCTCAGTGGTAGAGCATCGACCTATGAACCAGGAGGTCACGGTTTGATTCCCAGTCAGGCAGGGGCACCTGCCCGGGTTGTGGGTTCGATCTCCAGTGTGGGGCCCCCAGTGTGGGGCGTGCGGGAGGTAGCCGATCAATGGTTCTTTCTCATTATTGATGTTTCTATCTCTTTCTCTCCCTTTCTCACTTAAATCAATAAAAATGTAAAAAAAAAAAAAAAAAAAGAAAGAAACTTGCCCTTGTGTTAAAGGGGTTCCTGAATTTTGTATTTTCATTAAGACTTTGAGCTACTCAAGCAATAACTTTGTCTTATAGGACCGCTAAGAAGCATAAATGCACTCAGACTAACTTAATTTAAATGTAAGGATGGTTTTATTGGAGGGCTAGGGAGTTTTCTAATGGGACACAACCCAGCTTCCTGAGAGGCTGGGACCGGGAGCTGGAAATCGAGGTCTTTGCTCATTCTCCACCTTCTCCTCACACGTCTGTTTCGTTCTTCTTCGCTTGCGTGTGCGTGTGGTGAAATGAACCACTGTCGGCAGCTCTGTGTTCTCTCAGGGCCCAGGACTGACTACTTGTAGTCTCCTAATTGCAAATCCTTAGGGAGAGAATCTGATTGGCTCAGCTTAGGTCAGCCATCTACCGATCAGCTATGGCCAGGTGGGTCCACTGCCCAATCAGAAGGTTCTTCCTTAGAGGCTTCTAGGGAATGGTACCTGCTGGTCACTGCTCCCTCTGGCGCAGCCCCGACCAGTGACAATGTTGATGTGTCGTGAGCCACACCAATGACTAACCTGCCTTGGCTGGGACCAGGCTCATGGATGGAGGCCCTGGGCAACAGGAGAGGCGCTGGAATACCACTGTCACCGTCCTGTGATCAGGTCTGAAGTCTCTCTCCCGCTCTGGAGCACAGAGTCAGAGCATGCTGCTGCTGGTTCACTGCTGTACCCCCAGTGCTTACAGGCTCATAATGAATATTAAATGATAAGGGAACAAGAGCCCCATATTTAGTTTGATCAGGAATCCCCTCTTCCCACAAATATTTATCGAACATCTACTGTGTGCCAGGTACTATCCCAGCGTCTTGGGTTACACTAGAGAACAAACAGGCAAACATACCTGCCCTCACGTGGCTGGGCGTTGACCCATATCCCGAAGGGACCGCTAGGTGCCGCTGCTCTGGAACCGTCTGTTGGTTGGGTTGAGCCACTGCAAGTGTGAGGTCTGTGGGTGTTTAGAGCCAGTGGGAGCCCGTGGACAAAGCCGGGGAGATGTGACTGACGAGCTCCCCCGGCGCCCGGCCTCCACCCAGCCTGCCCTGCTGTGTCTCCCCAGGTCATGCTCTCCGAGCGGAAAGGCACGGACGAGCTCTACGCCGTGAAGATCCTGAAGAAGGACGTGGTGATCCAGGACGACGACGTGGAGTGCACCATGGTGGAGAAGCGGGTGCTGGCCCTGCCCGGGAAGCCACCCTTCCTGACCCAGCTGCACTCCTGCTTCCAGACCATGGTAACTCGTGCGGGGCCTGGCGCTCTGCCTCGGGCGGTTCAGTGGGTTTGGGCCAAAGCTGTCCCAGAGGCACCTGGGTGCTGCCCGTGGCGACGGGGGAATGTGGGCCCAGAGAGGCTGCTGAGCATTTCTCAGCGGCCCTGAGACGCTCTCCCCGGAGGCAGGTGCTGCCTCAGCAAAGATGCAGGGACTCAGCCGATGGGTTTGGTGGGTTTTGCAACCTGCGCAGCAGGGCCTTTCACAGCAAGAGGCCACTTGGGACAGAAGTGCAGGACTTTCGGCCTCACAATATGCGATGTAGCAGCAGGTGGGGATGTGGGCAGAGGTCCAGCACTGTGCTTAGGTGGCGGTGGGCAGCCCTCTGGGCCCTTTGCCTGGGGCTCCAGTACCTTCCCCCCGTGGCATGGACCTCTTTGGACGAGGGGTTGCCTGAGGACACAGCCCTCGGAGGACCCCTAGGTGTGAGCTCAGAGCTGTGGCTCCCGAGGGGGGACATTTGTGCTCTAGCTGCTGTAGACTGTGACTCCAACTCTGAGAGCAAGAGACATCCCTGTAAGACCGCTTAGCCTTGTTCCTGCTTAAACTAGACCTTGGCCTCCACACCTAAGGAGGGGAGGCCAGAGCCCCCACTGCAATTATTAGTTTGAATCCTTTAATGAAAAAGCACAAGATTCCCTCATCTAGTGCCTGCTTCCCCAGGGTGCAGTTCACATGGGAAAGGCAGGATAATGCTTGATTCGTTCCCGTTGTTTAACAGTTTCTAAGAGTTGGTTCATTATTATGCTCCAAAGGTGACTCATGTTTGCTTTGAAAATAAAATTTTCGACTTAGGGAGTCAGTGCAAAGAACAATACAAGTGAGCAGTAACTCACGTCATCTGGGGACCTGGCAAAGGTGGGGAGTGAAGCCTCAGGGAATGCACGTGGGGGCTGCGACCGGACTAGACTAGACCCTCAAGCTTCTAGTCCAGCGGTTCTCAACCTGTGGGTCGCGACCCCTTTGGGGGTCAAACGACCCTTTCACAGGGGTCGCCTAAGGCCATCGGAAAACACACATATAATTACATATTGTTTTGTGATTAATCACTATGCTTTAATTATGTTCAATTTGTAACAATGAAATTGGGGTCACCACAACATGAGGAGCTGTATTAAAGGGTCGCGGCATCAGGAAGGTTGAGAACCGCTGCTCTAGTCCCTTCCTTCCCAGGCTTCTCTTTTTCCGTCGGTGGTCCCCAAGTTGCCTGGCGGCATCCGCGGGGGAAGGGGGCTCAGCCTGGTGAATAGACTGGACGGAGACCTTGTCTCAAGGCGGGGGCTGGGCCTGCGGAGTGGTTTTCAGTTTCAGTTGCGCGTGTTGAGACTGGGAGAAATCGGTCATCTGTGATGGATATTTGCTGAAGTTCAACGTCTTCATTTGTAATTGACTATTTTAAAAACGATACATTAACTTGGAAATTACTCCTGACTGTTGGGCGGCGTGTCAGTGTGCTTCCTGGGATGGGAGAGCAGGGCCCGGTCTCGCAGAGGCTGCTCCCTGCCTGGGGCCCTTCCGGGAAGAGGTTTGGACCCAGAGAGCCCAGAGCGTGCGATGCAGCGGGTGCTCGTCTTGCGTGGCCGGAGCCCACGCTGGGGGCCTGGAGGCCGGGGCAGTGTCCAGATCTCGCCGGCGTGGAGGGAGCATGCGTCCTGCCCTCATCCCATCGCACAGGTGAGGGGGCTGAGGCCGCACAGCTGGTGCTTCAGGGCCAGGATTGAACCCAGGCAGCCAGGCTCCGAGGGGCTTTGCAGTAACTATGCCTTTGAGTGTGAATCACAATGTCCACTCCCCTGGAACCCTGGGGCGGGACGCAGCACTGCCTGTGCCCGGCTGTGCGGGGCCTGTGCCCTCAGGAGCCTTGCCCCTCTCCCACCTGCGCAGACGCGCCTGGTGCTCCATCCCTCAGAGAGGAACTGGCTTCCCATCTGAGTGTACCATTCAAGCACTGGTTTCTTCCTGGGCTCCCTAAAGGTATTGCGACAGAGAGGACTGGCATCCCACGTTACAGGGAAGGATTGACGACCTGGGTGCTGGGTGGTTCTCCCTAAACACAGCACCGGACACACGCCCGCTGGACGCGCCTGAGCTTTGCCAGTCCAGTGTGTTGAGCTGCCACCAGAATGGCCTTCGTAGTGGTGACGACAAGGACAAGAGCAGAGCTGGCCCTGCGAGTGCCAGGCCGCGCCGGACCCTGCTCAGCCCGCAGGGGTCCCCACGCTGCCCTCGGCACCTCTGGGCGGCTGCTGCCCCGGGTAGGCAAGGACACTGGTGTGCAGAGGCGCCCGGACTCCTGCCGCGCACACGGGGAGCGTGGCCCTGGGGCCGGTTCCCAAGCCTCGCGGGCCCCCCTCAGGCACCGGCCTCCTGCCCCTGCCTCGCTCCGGATTCTCCCTCTGGTTTAGGAATTATTTTCACTTTCCTGGTCACATCTAATTTTCACAAGGGGACTGTTCCCACCTGCACAGAGGACGCGGACCCTTGAGAGATGCGCCGGCTCCGGTCACCAGCGCTAAGCGGCAGGTCCTCGTGCCCTGCAAGCGTCACTCCCACCATGAGGAGACCTGCTTCCGCAGGACGTGGCACTGCTGGAAAGATCGATCAGGGAGCGATTTAGAGTGCAAGGGGCATCTACACGAGCGATCCGCACGGCGCCTCCCTGCTGGGAAGGCCCAAGGAGGTCGCCTGCCTCCCGCTCACCCTCTGGACCCGCGCATTCTCTGCACCCCAGCCTGGTGCCCTGGAGGAGGCAGCCCGGCTGAAAGGCAGTATCTCGAGAGCCGTGTCCCTAAGCGTCAGCCAGCGCTGCCGTGGACAGAGGGCTAATGCTTACGGATGCCGCCAGCGGGGTTACTGTTGGCGTAAACGGTCCAGGATGCCGCTGCGTCACTGCGAGGGGACAGCAGGAACTAGAGAGACAAGCCCTGTCCCCACAGAGAGGCCGTCGGCCACCGTGGCAGCAGAGCAGAGCGGCGGGGGCGGCGGGGTTGGGATGGGAGGTGCTGCTTTGGGTAGGTGGACAGGGAAGGCCTTCCTGCTGAGGATGGCGTTTAAGCAGCGACTGGGGTGGGCAAGGGAGCGGGCGTGAGCGTGTCTGGGCCAGTGTCCGCGACAGCAGGACACTGCGGTGGTGCCCCCGCGGGACGCCCGCTTGGCGCCAGAGGAGCGGCCAAGGCCACTGGGCTGAGCGGATTGCCGGTGTGTTTTGTGGTCCAGAATTCCTTTATGAATCATCTACCTTTAAAAAATGACAGATCTGGCGTAACGTTGCAAGTGTGGTGTTTGTCTTGCCAGAGATTTAGAATTTGAAGATAAAAGATCTTAATAGGATTTTTTTAAAAAACACACACCTTAAGGTGGTCAAAATAGATAAAAGAGAACAAGACTCTACCAATATACAAAGCGCCTTTGTCCTTCTTAAAATGATGCAAATTTAATTCCTAAAACCTTGTGTAGAAAAGTAAAGTTACATCAGATGTATTCTTAGACAATTGGATTTGAAACCTTTGACAAATATGCACAACGCAACTTTAACAGAAAATGTAGGAGATACATTCTATTTCAGAGATGATTCTAAATGTGCGAAAATGGAATGTGCACATAGAAAGGGACCAGGGGGGAAAAAGGGAGAAAGAAAGAGAGAAAGAAAGAGAGAAAGAAAGAAAGAAAGAAAGAAAGAAAGAAGGAAGAAGAAGAAAGAAGAAAGAAAGAAGAAGAAGGAAGGAAGGGAGAAGAGAGAGAGAGAGAGAGAGAGAGAGAGAGAGAGAGAGAGAGAGAGAGAGAGAAGGAAGGAGGAAGGAAGGAAGAAACCAGGAAGAGACAGGCACAGACTAATCAAAACGTTGGCGTGAATTAGGGAGGGTCATGGGTGACCGTCTTTGTCTTGAAAAGTGTCGCAAAGCGCCACACGGTGGAAGCGTGGACACCCAGACAGACGCAGGAGCCATCCGAGGGCTCGATGCTTGGAGATTGCTCACTGGATGAACTGGCCTCAGGTGGGCGGGGCTCAGGGAGTTGTCCTCTAGCGCACACAGGGATAAGCGTGAGCACCTCCGCTACAGAAACCCGGGCTGGGATGCCCTGCTCGCTCTGCATGTGGGGTCACTGTCCTTAAAGGGGGCACGGGAAGCGGGAGTAAGAGAGGTGATGTGCCACGTGCAGGAGCAGCAGTGAGCGGAGGCCGCCCGCGTCCAGCTGGGCTGGGGCACCTGCTGCGGCGACACGAGGGGATTGGGTTTTCCAGGGGCAGCTGTCAGCCGCCACATTCACAAAATTTCCCAACTGCCAGTGGGCACAGGCAGTTAAGCCTCCTTAGCAAAACATCTATTTTAAATGTTTTCTTTTCGATGGAACATATGCACTTCTTTTAAAAAAATAGAATTAGATTTTATGAGTCATTGAAGGATAGAAGTTACTTCCCGAATTTGCTGTCTTGGCCCAATAGGAACTCAGTTGCAAGGCATGCTGGGAGGGACATCAACCCAGCATGCAGTAGCGGACAGGGAGGGGGCTGAAGATGATTGCACTTGTTGGGTTGGCCTCTGATGACATGTCTGCTGAGCACCAAGAGTGTCCAGAAGTCCTGGCGCCTCAGGTGGGCTCTGGGCTGGCAGCAGCCTCCACGGAGGTGATCGGGCACAGGGCGCTGCAGAAGGCAGCTCGGGCAGCATTCTCAGCCAGGAGGGTGGGTTGCAAGAAACAGAGCGCCCCTCCTCCACACTTTCTTTTTTTAAAATATAATTTTATTGACTTCAGAGAGGAAGGGAGAGGGAGAGAGAGATAGAAACATCAATAATGAGAGAGAATCATTGACCGGCTGCCTCCTGCACGTCCCACACTGGGGATCTAGCCTGCAACCCTAGCAAGTGCCATGACCGGGAATCGAACTGGAACTTCCTGGTTCATAGATCAATGCCCAACCACTGAGCCATGCTGGCCGGGCCTCCTGGTCTGTGTTTCTCCCT